GGTTACGAAGAATGCATTTAAATCTGTGCTAACTCCACAAACTTGCGTGGCGGAAAGCATGTCTTAGAACCTATCAAGTGCACGTTCGGGAAAATACCCAGTTATGAATTGCGAGATAGTTATTGTAAAGTCTCTTTACTTAGGCACAGAACCAGCTTAAGGAGAAATTTTTACGTTCTCAGGTATAGCTCCGTAAGCAAAAAGCGGTCAAAAGCGATAAGATGTATTGAACATTTTTGCAGCTTCAAGCTAATGATATAGATTCACCTGTCAACGGACAGAGTAAAATACGTATTAAAATATAATGAAAGAGAGCAATTATAAGAAAATATGGATAATGTATGATATCGGAGAACACCGAATCGGAATATGTTCAAAAAATGAACCAGCGCAACCTTCAACACTTAGGTCGAGCGTTTACAACGCCTTCAGATGCTCTTCCCTAAACGCAACCACTAATGGGGTATCACCACATTTAAACAAAATTGCTACCTGATTCGAGAAAAACGTATACGGAACGCGTAAAGCAAACAATAGTTTTCGATTTCTTCATCAGCAGTCTCATCGTAAAAATAGACTTTAAGAACATCAAGTCTGTAGGGCAGTACAGAAGTAAATCATGGATTAGAGAAAATAAAACAGATCTCATGATGTACGTCGGGTATTCAAATACTAGAAGACACGTGACGTTGTTTGGCCAAATCTGCCTCTCCTCTTGTAGCTGTTAGCCAAAGTAATTGTAACGCGTGAACGAGTTTTTTTTACATGCAGAGGCTTGGTCTTGTCAATCTTATGCTTACCACTTCAGCGGTGGCTAGCAATCTCGCTGCTGGTACGTTGTACACAATTTCACAGGTATTATGCTTGTCAGCATAGTGCCCTGTACTGATCAGGTGCTAAGTTATGGCACTCAAATTATTCCGGTCTTTTCGATGAATGAGCGGATTCTGTAGGTGTTCCTTGATTCGCTTTTCTAACTGGCTGATCGTGCGTTCAATGCACCTAGCTCCACAGGAGCAGGGGAACCGGTAGATCACCAATGATTGGAGTTGGTCAGAAATTTTGTTATTGAATCCAGGGACAACTAGCGATTCGCTCGTATAGATCACGTTGACGTGGGTTGCGTTGAAGGTCTTTCTACAGGATTGTACCAAGCTTCGCGTACATACCTCAGCTGCTTGGTCACCTGTAAAAGGATCTTGAGGAATGACTGTTTCTTCTCAGCCGCTGGGACGATTGGCCTCGAGTCATTGCACTTCATATGGATGTCAATAAAGCGCACTGGATAACCATTTTTAAGAAGACTGTTCTTCCGGATTCAGCTATAATAGTGTCTTCGCTACAGATGTCACGTGCACTCCACGTCGACATACGCACCAGTGTTCTTTTTCGACTGAGAGGTGCGAAGCTCAGGAAATTCGTGTACTGTTCCGTGCTGTACGCTAACTGAATCGTTCCATCGAAAATCCTCTATAGACATGCATCCAAGGAAGTCAGCAATTGCTGCTTTTTTCTTTTACTGTGAACGTGGCGTTGGGATGTGTTTTTTTGAAACATTCGACGACATTCTATCAATTGCTCGTTTGGTATACTATACCGAAAATATCGTTTACGTAAAGACATTAGAACCTGGAGGTAAAAATAGCTCCTTTAACACGTCATCCACCAACATGCCCATGTAGACGTCCGCCAAAAGTGGACCAAGAGGAGATCTCCTTGATACTTCATCTACTTGTCTGTACAATTCAACGGTAAACCGAAATTGAACGTTGTAAGCACAACTGAGCAAGAGTTGTTTCAAAGGATCAGTTGATATCTCCGTTGTTATTATGTGTTGCTGAATGTAGGAACAAAGAAAGTTGACTGCCTCTAGTAGTTGGACATTGGTGAATACCGACATCACCTCCAGTGATAACATTCGACAGTCAAGCATGTTTAAGTTTCTAACACTGTCGACAAACTGGAAGACGTTAGTCAGATGGTGAGGGGCAATCCTTTTCATAAAGGCACATCCCAATGCCACATTCACAGTAAAAGAAGAAAGCAGCAATTGCTGACTTCCTTGGATGCATGTCTATAGAGGATTTTCGATGGAACGATTCAGTTAGCGTACAGCACGGAACAGTACACGAATTTCCTGAGCTTCGCACCTCTCAGTCGAAAAAGAACACTGGTGCGTATGTCGACGTGGAGTGCACGTGACATCTGTAGCGAAGACACTATTATAGCTGAATCCAGAAGAACAGTCTTCTTAAAAATGGTTATCCAGTGCGCTTTATTGACATCCATATGAAGTGCAATGACTTGAGGCCAATCGTCCCAGCGGCTGAGAAGAAAAAGTCATTCCCCAAGATCCCTTTACAGGTGACCAAGCAGCTGAGGTATGTACGCGAAGCTTGGTACAATCCTGTAGAAAGACTTTCAACGCAACCCACGTCAACGTAATCTATACGAGCGAATCGCTAGTTGTCCCTGGATTCAATAACAAAATTTCTGACCAACTCCAATCATTGGTGATCTACCGGTTCCCGTGCTCCTGTGGAGCTAGGTGCATTGAACGCACGATCAGCCAGTTAGAAAAGCGAATCAAGGAACACCTACAGAATCCGCTCATTCATCGAAAAGACCGGAATAATTTGAGTGCCATAACTTAGCACCTGATCAGTACAGGGCACTATGCTGACAAGCATAATACCTGTGAAATTGTGTACAACGTACCAGCAGCGAGATTGCTAGCCACCGCTGAAGTGGTAAGCATAAGATTGACAAGACCAAGCCTCTGCATGTAAAAAAAACTCGTTCACGCGTTACAATTACTTTGGCTAACAGCTACAAGAGGAGAGGCAGATTTGGCCAAACAACGTCACGTGCCTTCTAGTATTTGAATACTCGACGTACATCATGAGATCTGTTTTACTTTATCTAATCCATGATTTACTTCTGTACCGTCTTACGGATTTGGTCTTCTTAAATTCTATTAATGTATCAGGTCTGATGATGAAGAAGCCGGAGCCAAACGTTTGCTTTACGCATTCCGGAAACGTATTTTCTCGTGTCTGGTAACTAAGATTGTTATTTTACTCATAATTGCTGCCAACTGAACGAGACGCTGTACTGGTGTGGGGCTAAGGACTATCTTCTTAAACTCCCCCCACAAATTGGCTGATGCGGACTATTAGTTCTAGGATTCTCTTTGCAACATTTATTCTGTAATTCTAACCTATCCCCTGTTATTTCCCAAGTTAGCAGTGCAGAAACACATGCCGGATTTCAGTGATTGGCGATAATCGATTCTCTATTGTACGAATACCAGCTACTGATAATGACTCCGAAAATTGGTCTTAGGAACTTTATGCCTATGGACAATTCGTGCAGCTGTCTGTTTTTGGCTGTCATGCCCCACAATTTGATTGCATTGTATGGCTCTCCATTGCTCGCTGTTGTAAAACACATGATTTGCTTATATTTTAGCATTAACGTTATATAGTTATTATATTTAATTTTTCTTATGTTACATCCTTTCTCATTTAAAGGTTGGCCACGACTGGGTTGATATCATGAAGTGACAGATTGAAGGCTTCAAACTACACCCATGGAAGGCGCATTGCCACCGATTGACTGGCGCAGAAAATGTGCCATAATTGAATGATCCGCATGACGGAACGTGCTGAGGCTTCATCGTACATAATGTATGTATAAAAGCAGACCTAAAAAGAACACAAAATATGTTAAACTGGTAATGGCTTATTTGCTACTTTGCCACACCGACACACGACCAGGGAGGGCATGGAAGTGCGGGTGAAACCTTTCGAGAGAAAACCCTGCACGGAAGCAGGTCCCCTTGGGACGGTTCCACGGATAGCCGTATTACTTTACCCGAACATTTGATTAAATCTGTATTTGTCATTGTTATCAGCTTCTCAAGTTCTCTAATACCTTAAAACCTGTCAATTACTTTAAAATCCATTGTATAAAGCGCGAACAATTACTTATTTTTTATGATATTGCAGTACACATTGAGCAGACCACCTAGTTGGACTGTGCCTCGCGCCACAAAGGAATATACCATTTATTTAAAGCGATTCGCTCGGTATCGTCATATGAATGGCGCTTGCGCGTTTGCCGCGCCGTGCCCTATTCGATTGTGAAGGCCCGTGCAGGAGAAGAGCGCGGGACAATCAGACTTGCACTTGGTTAAAGTACATGAAATTGCTGATTTCACGTATACTCACCGCTGCACCTAAACGAGTATTCCTGGCAGCAGACCCAAGGTTGCAGAGGGCCAGTGGTTTGACAAGCTTCCAGATATGGCTCGCCACCGGTATCAATAGAAAATCTGTGTACAGTATTATCGTGACCCAAGCATTTAAACATTGGAAATAATAACAATAAAAATACAAGCGGGAAACGTTGCGTTCCATCATTGTTCAAACCGTACTTCCCTTTGATTCTTATGCTTTTCCAACAACTGTCTACTCCTTAGAATATATATATATATATATATATATACATCTATATCACATACGTATTCCTTCTTTCTGTCATTCTGCAACTGCCAAGTAAAAGAGTCGCAGGGGACATATGCTACGCACTTTTAGTTCGCTAAGTGATTAGCCTCAAAGTGTCCTGAACCGGTGTAGCACGTGACCGATAACAGCGAGACAAACTTCTAACACTCTGCCTAAGTAGTGCCTATTGAATGTGTATCCGCTTTTCGTGATTTCGGACTTTTTATGGTACCCACATCCTGAGAAAGCAACAGGTGCTATGACCGTCCTCGTGTGCTCTCTATTCCAAAGAAAAACGTCGTGCCCTTTTCAGCATACTATTGTAGTCCAACAACAACAACAACCAGGAGAAAAGCACACCTGGGTTGTGTTCCCTGACTTTGGTGACGGATCAGAGTAGTTAGTCGTTTTAATTAGCTTTACACTGGTTCACACAACTGGAAACGCTTAATACAGATGCATCTAATAGGCGACTGAGGTGGTGCTATTAACCTTTACAGGGACTATGCTGGAGACTAGGCTTTCCAAGGGGCTCGGGTTTTGAATCGTACGTCTTGGCTTTTGTTCCTCTCAGCACTCGTCCTGGCACTTTTCGATTGGTACTTGATGGGATGTGTTTCTGTGGTCATTTTTGCAAAATTCTTGGACGAATCGTAGTGGCTTTCGCGTGTGCACGCTTCACCTTTGACTAGCACACACGCTGTGACATTTGTTGTTGAACCTTTGGAATTTTTGTTGGGCGGTTCCTCGTGTGAGCCTGAGAAATTTCGGGGTGTTCGGCTGTATAGTATTAGACACGGCCAAACATAATGATGCACAACCCCGGAAGCAGAGTCCGAATCGAAGCTTCTTCGGTAGCTGAAACAAAAGAGATCAGTGAAGGTGAACACATAAATTGTCAAGGGAATAAAAGCTAATGACAGAATGGATGGGAAGGAGCTAAGCAACTTCTTTGGCTTGCCTCCCCTATTCAAAAAGAGTAGAGAGAAAGTAATTGGAGTGAGCTGACGGAAAACGCCACTCAATTGGCAGCAGTAGACATGCACCGGAGTGACAAGATGATTCAAACTCAGTACTAGGGTATCAGCCCCTATTATTGAAGAGGATCAAAAAGAAATCAGTGACAAAAGAGAAATACTCTGAGTAGCAACCCGTTGGTTCCTGCCAGACCAGATGATTCACCGCGCTGATGGCACGTGATGCGTCGCTTTTCACATCGACAATTAAATAGCGTCCAACTCCAAAATGGAATACCTATTACAAAACAAGATTTGGTACTTCTCTGGAAAATAAGTTAGCAAACCAACGTTTTCTTGGCGTCAATACTGCACTTTTGACGTTAAGAATGTGGAGTAAAACGTGTATCATGTGCTTCATAGGGAAACGTACTTACCACTTCTCGTCATATGCGTCCCCAGGTTTGGCAGAACGATCTGCATCCACGTACCAAATACGTGGTACGCTTGAGGCATGGTCATCTAGGCGCCTTGGTGACGATGTGACAGAACGTTTCTCTGACATCAGGCTCCAGGCCAATGAGCATACTTTATGAAGCAAAACCTTCAAGCAGCCCAATTCAGCTGAAGTTATTGCACTACGTTGAGCCGGACTCCGAATGTTCCGCTTCTGAGGATCCATTTCGGCATAGCAAGCGCATACACGTGGGGGACGTTTGACCATCCGATTCAATACTTCTTCAGTAAGATTAGTTAGTTGTTGGGAAGTGAGGGGAATTTTTGCGGATGAGTGTTCCTCTTGGTAAGTTTCACCATAGTAGAAGGACGACTCCTTTTCGTTTTGAAACCGTTCAGGAGTATTAGGATAGAGCCGACGCAAGAATTGACGTGTCACGGCAAAGCATACCTAAAAATGAAATAAGTAAATCAGTGAAGAGAAAGTAACAAATAAATTAAACAGCAGAAAGACAATCGTACTGAGTTCTGATGGCTCTATATTCCTAAATTGTCACCCTCGGGTACCAGACAATCTCCTGTTATCATCAGGTTCAGATTAGGCTGAAAACCAGATGTTTAAACATCGATATCTATAGATACGTTAACTAAAATAAGCAACGATTTATCATGGGTAGAAAAAACAGGTGCCTGACAAGTCCCGTAGGGTGATTTGAGTGCAAATTAAAAGAACCAAAGGATAAATGAATCGTCAGTGTAAGCGTCAACGATTTGATCGCAGTGCTGTATACCGATAGTTTGAAATGAGTATTGAACGTGCGTACACAAAGTAATGTTGGGAACAGTTAAAATACACGTACTCCGTGAGAAAAAATAAAAACGGAAATAACAACGCACATTCGCGTGCCGCTTCATTTGACCGATGAGATAGGTTAATCCAGTCTAGGTACATCCATGCCATTCACTCGAACACTGATGCAAGTTTCCTAAAAGCCACATTGCGAAGGCCTAGTGAGCACATAGTTTGGTTGGCATTATTTCGTCCTCCGTGTGAAACCCACCATCTCATGTAATGCACGTGGGAAAAGGTGCCATCAAAGCGCTTTTTAAAAGGCGTTAAAATATATGCTAAGATGATAAGGGTTAGAAGGGCACCCTATATTCTCGACACCCGAAGGGAGGAAACACTTTATTGGCAATCAAATGGGCTGCAGTGTGCGACTAGTTTGAGATGGTGGGCTCAGTTTCGTATTTTGGCTCAACTGCAACAGGTCGCGGAAAGCGTGCTTTGCGCACTTCAGTAATTGATAAAGCGTGCTGGGGTCTACACGGTGATGCCGATATTCACCACTGTACAAGCCCAAGGATTGCAGTCTGTGTTGGTAGGAGACGTAAAACAAAACACCTAACAAAGTTGGTCGCCTTAAGTTATGGAGAGTCAATCGAATCGATATCGTGTTTGTGCCAGTGCAAGCAGGCTGGGATCGCGTACTCTACATGAGGCCTCATGTAGACGCTCAGCATTTGCGGAGACACAGATGGCTCGAATTTCCCGAAACAGTCAAAGGTGCTGACCGTCTCTTTTCGATGCCTATTCAACCTGTTTCGAGCAGCCAAGATCCTCCCGCACAAATATGCCGCGATGGCTTTCCTGTGAAGTAAGTTGCAACTACCGGTCCCAAAGTCGTTATTCATAGGTACACTGATGGCGTGTGCTTACGAGTTGACATTTCCTCATGTTGAACTGGAACCGGTTTTCGGATGACTACGTATAGGCGCTGACGAGATCTCTTTGCAGTGCCGCATTATCGTCCACTGTCCTGATATCACGTCATATCTTGACATCGTCTGCAAATAGTAAGAAGTGCGACTGGTGCACACTGGCAAGCTCGTGGATGAACGCTAGGAATAAACGTTGACCCAGTAATGATCCTTTGGGGCACATCAAACTGGACTTAAATTGGATCAAAAATGGAGCTGCGCACTCTTACATTCAGTTGACGTTGAAGGAGGAAGTTGCTTATGCAGCTGAGCACAAGGTCACCGATTTCATAGCTTCGAAGCTTGTGAAGGAGAATGCGGTGGTCCACGCGGTCGAACGCTTTAGAGAAGTCTAGGCACATGACGTCGACTCCCACTCTGGCATCGACTGAGTCTGTCCAGCCAGCTCTGGCTAGCAGCAGGTTTGTAGTGCAGGACGGATTGCAGAGGAATCCGTGCTGGCGTGACAATATGATATTATTGCTCTCAAGGTATCTCATGAGCGCATCTGAGATAATACCTTCCATTACTTTGGACGACAAGGGAAGGAAAGTGTACGTAAACTCGAGGGCTTCGCGCGATTCTCACTTGTATAAATAGGAGTAATTTGCATATTTCAATATGGTCGGAACCTGTATTTCATCAAGGCGTCGTTGAAAGAACCGAACTAACGGTACGGCAATCTTCATGACGGCGTCTTTAATGCGTTCGGTACTATATCGTTCACGCCAGAATCGCTGTGCACGCACAAAGGCAGTAACTTTTTAATCACATTCGTTTGTTTCAAAGGCGGGTCAGATGACGATTCACTTTGGAAGATGCGGGTATAGTGTTGCCGAAGCGCGTTTGCCATCTCTTCTGTAATTAGTGTCGGACCATCTGTTGCACGTAGAACTGGGATCCCGCGCTGCGCTCTGTGGAACTTGTTAATGTGCCTGTACAGAAGTTTGGTAATGGAACGGAATTTCGTATCGAAGTTTGGCTTCATAGATCAACTTAACTCAGTGGTTTCCTTGCGTTGTGCAGGCATCCTCGGCCTGAAAACGCTGACAGGTTCTATATGCGCGTTAGGCTAAAGCACTTATAGCCATGTATTTTCGAATCTGGATCCTCAGGAAATACTTTGTTCGCTTTGGGTAAAAGACTTTGCTTTCCGACACATTTGCCACTAGACCGGTGAACTGGGTGACAAACACCATTCAGGCAACATCGCGCTGCTGCTCGGTTAGGAAGGGCCAGTCGGTTTCTTGGACGACGTCGGACAGTATATCGTAATAGTTGACGACGTAGGTTACCCCGTTGTTCTCAATTAGGTATTCCGCGTAACGGATGTAACGAAAGAGCAGGATCGCGTGACCACTACGACCAAGTGGCGTATCTATGGTTACGGTATCGACCATTAATTTCTCGTTAGTGAGCACTAGGTCCACAACAGATTGTTCGTCACCCGTTCTGAATCGCGTGAAAGAAGTGACATGGTTCTACAGAAGTATATCGGCGATTACTTCATGCAAGTCCTCGTTGAATAATTTGCTGAGCGAAGCAGATACTGTAAGCAAAGCTTTCCTACGCTACGCTACGCAAAAAAGCACCGATGATATCACCTCGCTTGGTGATGAACCGTCTGCAACAAAATTGCCAAGCTCAGCGAACAGTTCAACCGTCAATCAGGGAATTTGATTGCGTGCACGTTGAGGTCCGCCACCAGAAGGACGTGTTTCCATGTCTATTTGTGGCCGGATCTCTATCGCCTTTATAGGTATTTTAGATGGTAGCAATTTGCGCCGAGTTTTGATCGCTCTTTTTGCCAATGGGGACCACTACCTTTGTAGTTGCGTGATAACAATAACCTTGATGTCGAATTAGCGATCATGTTTTCGAGCGACAGCACTTCACGAATGAAGCGCCATCCATTCCAGTCACGTGCTTTGGGCAATAGCCCGTTTAATGTCTGAATTTCGGGGACACCTTGGATAAGGAACCATGTTACGTCTTTACGTTTACGAAAGTCATCCGGATTCTCTTTGCGCTTCTGACGTTCGATCCAAAGAACATCAGGAAAAATACGGACAGTGAATGGAGTGGTACGGAAAGGAGTGGCTGGCAACAGAAGTGCCTCTGCAGTATCTCCTGACGGAAGCGGTATCTGGAGTAATCGCGGTTCACCGTACGCTATGAGCTAGAATGACGGATAAGGTGAATGGAGTTCTATTAACTAACAAAGAGTCCCAAGTTTTCCGGTCGTCTAGCAGCTTGTCTTTGACGGAGTTCGTCTCGGATTCAGGCATATAGGGGCACATAGTAATTTGCGAATTCTCATGTTGTCTGGTGTTCTTCCCTTTTGAATGTGTGGCTACTTTTTCGAAGGATAACAGACGCTGAAATAGATCCCGCAGTAGTAGTGGCAGCACTAACTGCATCTAATGGGGCGGCGGTCGAGACTACGGCGGACGGTGCGTCTGTCGTGTAGGCGGCAGCAACGGACGCGTAGGTTGTCGATCCTTCTTTGGTATTGGACGTTTCGCGTAGCTTGAATGAAGCATGTGCTACGAACGCAGCATTAGTAACAACCCTTCTTGTTGGGGTGCCTATGTATTGTTTCTCTTACGTTCGGCCTGGCTGCTCAGTACTGAAATGGAGTTGGATGTTGAGCGTCGGGTCAGGAACAATGACTCGTCTGGCCTCAGCAGGACAGAAGTTACGGCGGCTGCTTGCTCTGCAAGTGCACCACTCTGTCGCACTGGTGCCCAAACATCGCTATACGTCTGGAGAGTGGAATAACCGTACACTCAGTGTAGAATCGTACGGAACCGGTTGCATGGCTTAGATTTAAGCGAGCACACTGGGGATAGAATTCTCTACAACAGTTCGAGAAAACCATCCAAATTCTTTCATCTTTAAAACAGTTTGACGCTCCACAACTTACATTTACTTGCGATGGTTTAGTCCTGGATTATTGCGGGCAAGCAGTGGCGTGCCAGTGTGAGCTTAAATTGGGCTAATGTCGTTTGCCGTTGTGTCTATCAGAGCAAGCTAAGCTCGAACGTTGTAAGTCAAAATAGTTAGCGGGACTGACAGATGCTAGATTAATCTTCGAAGGGATAAGCAGGGACGTAGACGTCGAGTCAGATAAGGGACCCGCTGTCACGTTGCAGTAAGTTCGTATGGTTCCCGTCCCTGTTGTGGCTCTGAAGCGTTCGTCTGGCTTGTCGGCAGAGTGCGGCCGTATGTTCTTGTTGCAATAACACGATGAGGTGGCAGCTGAAGTTTAGTGGAATGGTCTGATGATCGCTTATGGTCAAGATGTTAGATGGCAAGGAATCGTTGCCGGGGGGCCGGAAGTGGTTGGCTTCAGGGAAAAGACGTAGATTTCTCTGTAGCTGTTGCACACCGAAGTGAATTGGAACGAATGAGAAAGCTAGTTCGAAGGCCGCTTGAGTGCTCTACCGAATAAGACCAAAAATATCTCCGAATTTTGGAACTACGAAACCCTATGCGAGGATGTATGGGGGAAGCACTGCTCGAAACTACCAGTTCAGAGTAAATGGATGATGAACTGGTAGTGTTCCCGACAGAATGGCATCGCGAAATGGTACTTGTCAACTCAGGACGAATAACTATGGATCCAGCGGCGTGGGACAAAATGCGGCAGGGTAGCTGCGAAAAAACACGAGCGCAGAAATGTGCGACCAGCAAGGTAACCTGTGTGATTTCAACTGTAAATGAGAGGGAAGAGAATAGTTGGAACTGCACTAGGAGGTGAGTTATGGCAAAGCTGGAGCTTATGTATGAACATTCAATCGACTTAAATAAATAAATAAATGGCACATTTATGCGAGACACAGACAACATACGTGGTCTTAGCATTCTGTACATAATTGGAATCTCATTCAAAATTTCCGAAGTAGTTCCCAAAGGAGTTTCTGGTGTGATTTCATACATTCATTATACACGTTAGATGCAGGTGGGAACCACCTCATCTATTGTGCCGCAATACAAAAGACAAGAAGAAAAAGAAAAAAGGTGGCACGCCGGCTGAGGCCCCAGTAACGGATGGACATCGTTCCGGAGAGCTAACAGCCGGCTATTGTGCTACAAAAAGTTAGGCCCAACGAATGCGATCGTGATTGGAGGGAGGGAGGATAAGCAGTAGGGGATGGACAAAGGAACTCACAACACAAACGCCACTGGGGCCGGCTCCAAATCATATCAGCAAGTGTGTCCAACCAAACGTGTTAACCGTCTTTAGGACCCCAGCCAGGCACTCGGCATGCACCAACCGACGCCAAGGTCGAAGTGAGGGCTTTTACTGCTCTCGACTAAGTCGTCGCTTGGCCTCCCCTCCTCCTCCTCTTCCAACCGCACCCCCGGCGCACAAACAACGCGCGTCGCGGGAGTCGGTGTGCTGGCATGCGCAACATGTAGTCCAGCCCTCGGAGCCTGGTGCGTGATATAATGGTGCTGAGCGGTTCACTACCTCATCCTGTCCCAAATACGCGATGTCGAACACGCTCCTTACTCACGCGGTGATCCCACCAGACATAGCTAAGCTGCGAAGGCAGCGATGATCGAATGTGGCGAGCCTCTTTATGTCTGTCGACTTGATGGGCAAGGTTTCACAACTATATAGGAGAGTTGAACGGACGGCTGCGTTATAAATTCTGCCCTTCAGGGAGAGAGTAATGTCGCGTCTACGCCACAGGTGGCAGAGATTGGCAAACGCACCTCGAGCTTTTGACATCCAGTTCGTTATCGCAGCTTCGATTCCACGGGCGCTAATATAGCTGCTTAGGTACTTGAAATCCTGAACGACTTCTAGCAGATCACCACCAAGCGTTAGCGAAGGGGTGGGTCCCTGCCAATCTTGAAGAAGTAGTTTACATTTCGATGGAGCAAAGCATAGCTCAAAACGGTAGATAGCCAGTGCCAATAGGTACAGGGCTGCTTGGCATGTTTGGGAGCTGTCACAGATTAGGGCAATATCGTCCGCGTACTCCAAAGCAAGAAGTCGCTCACCAGGAAGTAGCTCCACACCTTCTACGTCGTGTCCAGCGAATTCTGCTTCCATGACTTCGTTAACTGCGAAGTTAAACAGGAAAGGTGAAAGCCGGCAACCTTGTCTCACATCGCTGGTGATACTGAAGGGTGGTGACAGTTTGCTATAAACGCACACTCTGTCCGAACTATGCGCGTACAGCGCTTTGATAATGTTTACATATTTATCAGGCACACCTTTCCTCAGCAGACAGATCCAAAGGGTACATCGATTGACTGAGTCAAAGACACCTTTTATGTCAAAAAACACGATAACGGTGGGTTGCCAGTAAACATGGCGATGCTCCAGCAATTGACGCAAGGTAAAGAGGTGGTCGATGCAGCCCCAAACTCGAGGAAACCCGGCCTGCTCTTTAAGAACCTGGCTTTCACGAGTGCCAGACAATCTGTGGAGAAGGACAGAGATAAGCAATTTAGAGGCAATTGAAATCAGACTGGTCCCTCTATGATTGCCGTATTCCGAACATGCGCCTTCCTTGAAAATTGGGACTATGACGGAGCGGCTCCAGTCTGTCGGGACAGTCTACTGTTCCCAAAGTTGCATTAGCAACTCGTGTAAATCATCTACTAGAGCTGGTCCCCCGAATTTGAAGAGGGCTGGGGAAATTCTATCTGCCCCTGCGGCGTTATGCAATTTCAACAGCCTGATCTCACGTTCGACTTCTGCGCATGAGGGCGGATGCAAGGAGACGGCCCAGAGAGAAGGGCGCCCAATGCCCGAAAAAGAAAGCAATAACTCAGATTGGTTAGTGTCTTGCAAAGTGTTGGGCCCTACGCTCCAAGCGTTTTGACAGGCTGTGGATCGGCTGCCCACTCTCGTCGCGTATGGTCTCGCTAACACCAGATCTCCTGTTGTCTGTTTCCCGTATTAGATAGAATAACTTACGACGATTACCAACGGCAGTGGCTGCTTCCATCTACGAGGCACGATGAGATCACTAGGCTTCGCGGTCTTTCTGCAGACTAGAAAGCAGTTTGGAGTTGAGATTTTTGGGAGCCTCATTGTATTCGCTTCCAGCCGGAATACCTCGGCGAGCATCCATAAGATCCAGAGACTTTTTAGAGACGCAACGTCCAGGATAGTAATTTGGTTTGCCACAGGCATGTCTTCCATACCTGCTGATAGTAACATTTGACGAATATGCGACCAGCGATCTTCGACGGTGTTCAGTGGGCGCTTACTAAACCCGGATGTCAGCGCACTTTGATACAAATTCAGAACAGCTGGCTTCGCCAGCTGGCTGGTGTCAATCCGTTCACATTAACGTGTCTAGCAATTAAAACTAATAAAAAGACGGAGAAGCAGAAAGTAGGTATAAATGTAGGCACAACCAATAATTCACGTACAGTAATGCGACCATTGGTGTACCCATCTCCTGTGGACTCGCTTCCATGCAAGGCAGTCCATTGTAAGATTTTGTCTGCAACTACACATCGCACCTGGCCATGGGTTGATACGACTTAAAAACAAGCAAGCCGTCATCATGCTGACTTGTTATGCTTCTATACCCTCTGTTATGGAAAGTATGCCGTCATCGTGTTGACTCATTTTTGAAGGGCCGCTGTCATAAGCAAGTAGGCCGTCATTATGTTGATGTTGCTAAAGAGCAAGCAGACCAACGTCGCACTAACTCATCTTTGGGGATGTTGTTATAAGTACAAAGAATAAGCACTCAAGCCACTCAGCTCGTTCCAACATTCGACTCAGTTGAGCCCGGCACCGTTGTTTTCTCGCCAGTGGGTTTGTGGCAGTTCATCACGCGTTAGCGTTATTAATTAGCTTGGAAGCTTGAATCTGTCACCTCATGAAAACGGCTCAGTCATGATAAAGGGTGGAGAAGAAAAACAAAAAAATTGTATGAAGCAATAAAGAGTAAACGGTATAGGCCTCTCTAGAATGAGATGTAGTCCAACGGTCTGCAGTATTTCCACAAGGTACATGCGCGCGACCGCTACACAAAGTACATGATTTACCACGTGCTCAACTGTGGCGCATTGAAAAACAAAGAAACTCTGGAGTGCAAAAAGTAGTAGACAGCATCCTACCTGTACAGCATAAAATATTGTTCTTTGACTCTTCTCATAATCTGCTTGCCCGACTGTCTGAAGGCGTTGCATTGTATCCACTCGGACAGTGGTGAATAAATCATTGTAGCGTCCGACCAGTGGAAACAGCCATGTACGCAAAATTGCTGCAGGATGTACTAGGTTCATGCAACTTATATCAACCCCAATGGGTTCGGAATCAGAGAAACGAGATGCATCGGAAGGCTGTCGGAAAGACGGCGAACGATCAGCAGAGTCCACAAATCTGGAGAAATGAAGTTACACGAGAAATGTAGCGGTAGACTAGACAGAGGTTAACACAATGTTAGTTTCAGAACGAGAATATGTCACGAGAGGACAACGCCTGATTGGCTTTAAGCAAGTTAAGGTTCGTAACAATAATTGTTAACAGCTTCACCTGTTTCTGTGACATGATAGAGGAAAACAGTTGCTGACCGATGATGTCCGCCCGTTGTGACATTACATATATATATATATATATATATTACAGTTAGTTTATAGTCACCAAAAATACGTACAGAACCACCTGGCTTCAGGACTGGAACTACTGGAGCTTCCCACTCACCGTATTGGACTGCCTCGATTGTTCCTGCGGATTGCAAGCTCTTTATCTCGTCTTCCACCTTTGATCTCAGGGAATAAGGTAGGGTACGTGCCCTGGAAAAGCGGGGCTGAGTTCCCGACCATAATTTCATATTAGCTTGATATTCGTGCAATTTTCCTAGTTTAGCATCAAAAACGGTTGAGAATATCAGTAGCTCGGGGTGTGGATGTGGGTATTGCACTACTCTTCGAGTTGAACGATTATCTTGTAAAATAATCGTTCAGCTCAGAGAGCAGTGCAGTACTCACATGTCATCAAAAACGTCAGAATATGTGTTGAGCACATCCTCATAGCGCTGGTTAATGGACGTGAGCATCACTGTCTCTAATGTGGCCGGAAGGCATTTAATCCAGTCGCGACAGGGTAAGTGTGGACAATCATTCACCGCAACATATGCTTGTAACGTCCGCTTATCTCTATGATAATTAACACGAGCAGTACATTTTTCAAGGACTGATATCGGCTGCCCAGTGTACGTACGCAAAGTTGATGCACAGGGGGATAACTTGGGTAAAGCTTTAACAGATGCAGCACTGATTATGCTAACTGAGGAAACGGTAACAACTTCCATTTTCACCAACTGGACTTCTATTTCCAATTGCACAGTGAATGGTGGGTGAATGTTACAGACGCTCGAAGTCGCGTTCCAAATCGTGTTTAGCTGCTTTTCATCGGTTGAAGACTGGGCGACCTTCACGGGCTTCTTGGGAAAAGGTGATGTCGCAGCTGTGCCAACTTCAGATCGGCAAACTCGTGCCAAGTGCCCTAATTTTCCACATTGGCAACAAGTGCTCTCTATGACGACATTCCTCGGCCGATAGATGTTGACTTACACATCGGTAACAGGCAAATCGGGTAACATGTTTTCGGTCGACTGGTTGGATTGTGTCAGTATGAAGTTGCGATGAAAAAGCTGCTAACTTTATGGATATTTTCCAGCTGTCGAACAATAATGCAGGCTTTCTCTCAGCTCATCGTCGTCTCATCTAACGACAACAACTTTTCACGAGCCTTTTCGTTACGGATACCGGATATCAAGCAATGTAAAGCAATCGCCTCTTCGAACTTCGTAACTGGAATTTCACTATACGAACTCTAATAGGGCTTGCTGAATCCGCGCAATCAAATCAATGACACATTCTTCAGGGTTTCGATGCAAGGTCGAGAAAGAATACCTAGCAGTGTGTTCAGTCGTGAACCCATAACCCGCTGAGGACTTTTAGTGCGCTGCTGTCTGTCTCCACACCGACACGGAGGGCATCAAAAAGTCGTTGGCTTTCATCCCCCAGAAATTGTCTCAATAATTTAATTTCGTGGCTCTCTGAGAGTAGCGCGTTTGGTTTCAAGACGGGTAGTAGCTACAAATAACGCAAAAAAGTGCGGTTCCAGGTAGCCGGTGTTGATTTCTTAGAAGGAATATTCCAAAATAGTGCATGAAGGTGAAACATCGCTGTAGTTTAACGTCGCCAGAATGTTAAGCATGGCCCTTAGCCGATGGACGGAACAGAACGAGCACGAGTAGTATGGAACCGTTTTACGAAAAGCTTCCCACGTTACAGCGGTTAGAAATGTCGGAAAGAAAAATCAATAAAATAAGGAAGGTAAGGCAAGGTCATTGCCAACCAAGCATGTGAGCGCCTGTGTTCACGAATGAAAGTTCAACTGCGTACGTGACACTAGCATACCATAAATTTGCATAATAAAATCTTTTGCGGTACAATACCCGCTGGCAGCTTCCCGGAACCATGCCCATCCGCTGCTGGTGGCTTAGCTGGCGTTCCTCGGTTGCACGCATAATAGCTGAGATATTTTCTACCTCTAGCTAACGTGTGTAATGATATAATGATGATGAGCCTGGGAAAGGATATTGTTGGGCGTGCGTACATGCTGGCCGGCCAACCGCTGCATCCCAGACTTTCCGTGAAAGATATCGTCGCACTCTCACGCTGTGATTTGAAGTCCGTAGACAACACCGACAAGCTATATGGAAATGGACTGCGCATGCTTCGGGCGCTTAAACACAGCTTCTGTATTTGGTTTGATGTGATTGTCGCGTGCATTTCTTTTTCAATCATAAGACCGATTCTCGAATATGTATCAGCCGCCTATTGTCCGATCACCCGTGGAGAAGTGAAAAGACTGGAATGAGTTTAGCATGTGGCTACTAGCCAGTTTACGGGGTGCGCAGCAAAGAGGATCGATGAAGACGACTAGGGCTGTACACCCTACCGGTTTAGAGTTGACTTCATTATGATGCACCGGATATTGCATCTCGTTCACTTCCCCATGCTGAGGCAACCGCTGCACGTGCGCGCACCAAAAGTTCTCACTAAAACCGGTACAAGCTAGTGGCACCAGACCTAAAGCCGACAGCTTACCGTCTGTGCTTCGTGCGGTGAGTGGTGAAATACTGAAATAGTTTGCCTGTGAAAATTATCGAAGCGAAATCGGTGTCAGAATTCAAGCAATTTCTAAAAACCCACTTTGTGGATTTCAGATACAGGGAGCGCATCGCAACCGAACAACATATGGTGCAGCTGTGATATGCAGCAGACGCGCAGGAATCAGTGACGTGACTCCGAGCACGTAGGCGAAATAATTACCATGGAGCAAAACGGACGCATATCTACTAGCTCTCTATTTTCAGTATTCAGTATTCATCGTCATATTCAATAGCAGCATTATCATCATCATCAACAGCAGTATACCAGCCATCCGAACGGATGCTCCGCTGCCACGCAACCACAACCTACGGAACGAAGAATAATAAGAGGAGGAGAAGGAGGGCCTAGCGTAAAACCTTAATGCCTATGCAAACATTCAGGGTCAAGGTGCATACATCTTATGTTAACGATTTTTCGTCACAAACAGCTGGCTATCGTGCAAAGATAAGGTGGCATCGGTGATCCAGCTTCCTTGCGGCTTTCACTGCCACGCGTCATAAACAGCTATTAGACCGCAAATAACAGTGCCAAACACACTTTAAATAGGCAGTCCGACTACGAGACGACAGCAGACACGTCACTGGTGTCAACTCCTAGCTATATCCAGTAATGTCTCCAGTGAAGCACGCGGGCTCCGGCCTAGTCATCAGTGACTTCATTTCCCGCTGCCAAGTTAACTCTTACCACTTCGAGCCTCGCATCACCATACACCTGATAAATAAAACAAGGCCCTCCTCGGTAAGCGGTGACCGGATATAGTACGTGCCTCCAAGCCAACAAAACTTATTCGGTGATATTTGTTGTTTTAAAGAATTAGCCTGGTTATCACTGCTTAACAATCGCATACGCACATCATCGCTGCGGACACTGGTGCCATCCGATACCGGCAATGCTCCGAAGACAGCGATGGTCAAAGACTTGAACCCTATCGGCATGCGTGTCCATTGAAAGTTCGTTGGACATCTTTTGAGTGTCGCACGGGCGTCTGTTTAGAGTCCTATCGGAGTCATGACTAGACATTTTTGGACGTAAGGACACTCAGAAAAATTGCGCAGGAGACCGGTTTTGAAATTCAGACAAAGTAGTGCGCACACAAGCACCTACGCATCCAATGTGGTAAGTGCACCAATCCTCAACTCGGGTTACTAGGCGCCTACGTAACGATTGAGAAACAACGAAGTGTGAAATGCAAATGGTTATATTTGCAAACCATGTGCTACAAAAATGCAATATTAGTAATTTAAGTAGAAAATATTCACCATAATGCACAAGATGTGCCTTTATTTCTTGTCGGAGATTATTTATTCAGAAATACTTGTCGTTCTATGAGAGTATAGTCCCGGACTCCTGAGTGCCCAATAGGGCCCACAGGGTAGCCGCCTCAGATCCTCAGACTGAATGGTCCAAGTCTCACAGTGGCCACCACCGTGGCTTTATAAACACGGCCTTTCAGACTGAGAGAAATCTTTTTTGACTCCACAGACATCGGAGATGCAAGAAGGCAGTTCTGAGTTTTGTAATATGTGAAATGAGTTCAATTTCTATGCACCCATCGTGGCTGATGCAGCTGTCAAGATAGATGAATTGATCAACTATCTCGAGTTCTTCGTCAAAGGGTCGTTAAGTGGCTGGTGGTTCTGCAAAAACATCTAGCATTTTGAAGGTGCAAAGGGCGTACTAAATAATTGGAACATTCTAGAAAGTTTATTCAGGGTTGGCTAGGCCGCACCAATATCGTGAAACAGCAAGACAATATCGTCATCATAATCAGGGTCAACTAGCCATTCATCTGGAAGCACCTCCACATCTGAATCGGGAGGCTCCGCAAGGGAACACTCCATGATGAATTTCACGACGAAGTTGAACAAAGTGGGGAGATTGGACAACGCTGAGGAACGCCACTTGTTATCGAAAAGCTATCCGACAGGTCATCGTATACCCTGTTGCGACCTGCGGTGTACGAGTACAGGGAAAGTAAAACCTTCACATACTTCATAGGAACACTATTCTGAGCATTTTGAACATAATGTGTTGATCTACTGAGTCGAACGCACTCTCAAAGTCGAGAAGCACAGCTATTGTTGGTCTGCTGTATTCGTGGCGCTGTTCTAGCACCTGCTGCAGAGTGAATATATGGTCTATGCAGTACCGACCTGGACGGAAACCTGCCTGCACTTCCCTAATCCGGAATTCCCG